TTTTTCGATTTCTGAATAATTAATGCTAGGTAATTATATTTCGATATCGTCATATTATATAAACATATCTAACATCACGCTTCCGTGGTAAGCAAAAGTGGATTCTGCTTATATTATTTAGATAGATAGATAATTATAATTTAATTATTTTCATATTTATACATGTATGTTTTTTTTATTTAAACTAAAATATACTATATACTAAAACTTGAGACACTATTTTATTAATTTTATAACGAATAAAATATTGATAACAAATGAAAATTAATTAATTTTAATTTATCTACATCTATCATTTCTTCCTTTTTTTCTTTGTAAATCAAGTGGCGGTATGTAAAACTTGAAAATTCAATACTCCTTGAAAATTCATAATTTTTTAGATCAGACAGTAAATTTCTCTTCTTATTAAAACTTTCACAAGGACACGTATAAAGACGAGGGAAAAGATTATATAAGTATGAAGCAATTAGAAAAAAGGAAGAATATTTCTTGGACTTTTTAGCACTGTTCGAAGTTTAAAGAACTTTTTATGATTTCCAGAATTTTAATTTAAGACATTAGACTTCTTGGATTGAGAATTTTTCATTTTAACTTTATAATGGAAAGTATTTGGAATTCCTTTGGTCTTTATAAATCACTTGGAATAATGTATTCTACAATTAGAATATAATAATTATATTTTTAATGCATGAGTGATTTTTATATTCAATTTCCAATAAAATTAAATTTTATTTTTTTATTCAAATAATTATATAAAAATCAATTTTTCTTTTCTAATTTTTTTTTTTTTTGAATTTAATTGATTTTTTCATTCTCGATCCTGATTTTTTATTATTCTAGATTTTGAAAAAAATTTGAAAAAGTTCTGATCGAAATCTTTAATTTATTCCACAAGTTAAGAAAAATGTTTATATGTGAAACGTAAAAAATGAATTTTAAACTTTTTTCAATAAAAATAAATATTCAATTTGAAAAAAATGGATTTTTCTACAAAGAAAAATAATAAATATTGAAAATTATTAATAATTCTAATTAAATAATTAAAAATTTTGCATTGTCATTTAAAAAACGTTCTTTCTTTCCCTGAAATTAAGTACCGTTACTTGGTTCGTTTCAATCTTGATAGAAATTTGCATGCGATATGTCGATTAATTTACCTAGGTGGAGGACCACCCTATTTCGTACGGAGAACAAAACTATATCGAATGTATTAACTGATAGAGTTTGCTAAGTGTGGTTAATACAATACAAGACCTGAGTATCTAACACGAGAAGTTTAGTCTATGCTACTAGTTTGAAGTTGAGTGCTAACTCAGAAAGTTTTGTTGTGTTACCTGCTAGTTTAAAGTCTATTCCTAACTTATCAAGTTTTGTTATATTATTAGTTCATAGAGGATTTACTGATTTGCTAAAAAATTTAAAATTTAATGCTTTCGTGACTCCAACATACTAGAATATCCATGTGTTATCAAAAACATTGGATATTTAAAGTAAAAAGCAAGAATTATTGAAAATAATTATAAATATAATTATAAATATATTATATAAATATTATATAAATATAATTATAAATATATTATATAAATATTATATAAATATAATTATAAGTATATATATATATATATATAATTATAAATATATTAAAATAATCATTTAAAATAATATCTTATGTGTTTAATTATTTTTAAAATCATTTCGTTATTATTTCATAATCATGAAAATATGTAGAAAACTACAGAAAAGAAAATAAAAGTTTTCCCATAGTTTGTGATTAAAACGACAGATGGCGAAATCGTCGCATGCATGTTCACTTTTAATCCATAACAAATTTTCTCTCATTTGAATTATTAAATATTTACACGAAAATGTTATTTATATTATTTGTTCTTTCAATATCTCTTTATAAAATAGTTGATAATAAATAATCGAAACGCAGATAAAAGAGCAATAAATTTATCTAAATATTAACGTTTCGCTTACTTTATATTATGTATATTATGTAATTTAGTGAATAGAATTTCGTAAAGACAAAATATTCTTTCATTATATCATGTATAATAAAGAAAATATTTCAATTTATAAAATATTTCAATAATTTCAATTAATTATTTCAATAAATTCAATATTGGATAATATACACAATTAGATATAATGGAAATATTATTTTTCACACATTCATAAAATCAAATAAATATTTCAAACAATATTTTAATTGAAACATTATTATTTCAAGTTATTATTTAGTTATTATATTAAATATGTCTGACATCGTTAAATAATTTTGAATATATTATATTTATAATATAATATTTAAAATAATATTTGCATACATTTTTTTTTTAAGATAAAAACATCTTTTTTTGCGAATAGTATGGTCAATCATATAGTAAAGTTCTTACAAGCGTCGAATATTGACATTTTTCAATACATTTTTATAAATCGTATATATACATTTTTTTGTAGAACGTGTATGATAAATTCCTGGTAGATTTTTAAATATATTCAAAAATTCCAAAACGTCTCGTTAAACCGCTTCACTGCATTAAATTCACAGCCAGCTAAGGTAGACAATTCGGTGACGGATGCGTGAACTGAAGTGGAAATTGTCGATATTCGAATATATTCGTTTCCTGTCTTTACTTATCTTACCATCTCTTAAAAGTATTCAAGGTTTCTACTTATTTTTAACTTGATGCAATTTAAGTACAAAATGACACATAAGGAAATATATTTGTTATAGTTATATATATTACAATATAGTAAAATTTTCATTATTCGAATTAAATAAAGAGAAAATATATTTGAATAAGAGATAATGGAAAATAACATAAGCTTATTGCTTTTTTATGTGTTTTATCATATATATTATTTTTTATTTATAATAAAATTGGAATCTTTCTAGTTTATATAAATCATTTGGCATTTACATTTTTATTTTTTTTAAAAGTTTTTCTATTTGAAAGATATATCTAAAAAAATCTACATCTTACAAATAATTTTTTTAATTCCTTTTTTAACAATTATATTTTTTATTAATTTTCTTGCTGTTTTTTAATTTCTTAAAAATTTCTGTTTAGTATGAAGTAATGTAATCAATTATATTTTGTTTATATTTCGATGATATTGTATTTTACACTTACTTTATAACTTATAATTTGTTATATGTAATTCTGAGTGATGAAATGAAAAAAAATAAATTACTAATTTTATATAACAAAATTATCATCTCAAAAAGATACATGTACAAATATAAACATACATATATTATATTTTACAAAAGATAAACTCTCAATGATTTTCGACAAACAATATTTGATTCCTATTATGTCAATATTTAGCCTTCTTTGATAAAGTTATTCAACATTAATTACAAATTAAATTCTATTTCCAATATTCCAATAAGAAAAGACACTTATTTATACTATTAAGAACAGAGAGTGTACAGTTCAAATATAATAAAACCTTCAAACTTAATAGAATATTTGAAAAAAATTTATCATTCTCTCTTTCAATATAAACAGTTCAAGATCAATTTGCACAAGAAGCCGCGAGATAACCGCCACTCTTAGGAATGCCATATAGGAGAAGGAGAGAAAGCTTAAGCTCCAAAGAGAGTCATACGGGGTTGTCCAACATGGTTTGTTTGTCGAGATGTTAGCTTTTCGTCAAAGGATGCTATTAGTATGCGGTTAGCATTACGGAACTGTGTATCAAGATACACGGGATCCTGGGATCGTTATCTATTACCAATTCTCTGGCATGTGAACTGTCTGCCTCTGGTGATGCTCTCCACATTCGCTCTCCTTCACCTTGGGATGCCCTCGTGGACACGAGGTTTCCACGATTCCACTTTGTGGAACGATCGATGGAATCGGGGACCAGTATTCGTCGATCGGGCCAATAAGACGATTAGTCTTGCTGTACACGATCCTTGGCGCTAGCCGGAAATCATTGTGCGCGCATTCCACCGTGATCTACCGTTCAGAGATCACCCTTTACTCCCTCGAGTACTTGGAATACTTGGACAAATACCGGCTTAAGAGGAGAGGATGGCCGGCCTCGCCATTCGTTGTTTTTCATCTAGGGATCACTAGAAGATAGATGTAGTTTACGAGACCTATGGATATCAAAATGGAAAGATTTCGAAAGATCTGTTTTTATCTCTTTTTATCTTTTTTTTTTTTTTTAATTATGATAAATTTGGATGAAAAGTAATTTCATCATTATGTAGTCAAATAATTAGGACATTCACAATTTTCAATATTGTGATATATTTTTCAATATTTTTTTTAATATATCGTGTAATAATGATTTTTATTGATTACTAAGTTCTATTAACTATATGTATATTAATAATTTCAACATATATTTTTTACTGGGTTGTTTTATCATGTTTTTTATCAAATCATTGTGAAGAATTTCTAACTTTTTAAATAGATAATTAGACAGTCTAATTTTAAAACTTTAGAAATAAAAATATTTTAAAATTTTAGAAGATTATGTTATAAGGAATAATATTAAATAAGTTTAAGATGAATTGTAATACGAGATTTTATTCAGTACATTGAATATGAATTAAATGTACACTGAATTCATATATTACGATTTCTTTTTTAATTTTTCTAATTATTTTCTAATATGATTCATAATAATTCAAAATGACATGAAATACTGAAAAAAAATTTAATACCCATCCAATTTTATACTCAATTTAACATTTCAAATTTATTTTTTTCTTTATTTTTATTCTTTATAGTCTTTTCTTATAGTCTTTCTTATAGTCTTTCTTATAATCTTCTCCTTTATATATTTCGAATAAAAAAAGAATTGATATTTAAAAAATAGAATAAGAACAGAGTTTTGAAGCAATTTCAACTTCGTCTCATTCTTAAAATGAAAATTGGAAAACTTTGGTTGAAAGTCTAACGAACTGAGACACGGGTGGTATGACCGTTTTAATTGTCGGCACATTTTAATCGTAAATTTTCTCTCTGTTACAGTTGTCTGAGTCCGAGGTCTGCGTTGTTCTACGAATTCCCACCTAACGGTAAGTTGGTTGGTTGCATGCACTTCGTTTGATTCATTTGTCATTTGTTTGAGATTTAAAAGGGGAAAGAAAACTTTAATTGTTTTAAAATTCTACGAGCGTGTTTTGTTCGCAAAATAAAAGTAAAATATTCGTCTTGACTACAAAAGAGAACTATTCATATAAGAAGATTATTTTCATTAATTCATATAAATCAAGTATTAATTATTTTTGTTATTATTTTATATATAAGAAGAATATTTTTATTATTAATATTGTATTTTTATATTCGTTACATTGCATAAATTTAACATGACTAAAGTTTAGTTGAGGAAAATGTTACAGTCAAATATCAAAGGTGTAAGGAATTTGAGAACATAGAGAGGGAAGTAAGAAAATATTGAAGGTGTGTTAGTTATCTATAGAAATTTTGCAAGCTGTAATGATAATAACTTTGGAGAAGTTAGTTGATCTTTTTAGATAACATGCTTCGTGAAATTTCACCAATTTACAATTGAGAAATTCGTTAACTAATATGCATAAGCATTATATATTTATGAATAATATTCTTGTTAATATTTTTTTCAAATAAGATAAAGTAATTTATGTAAAATAAATTAAAAAGTGACTTTAAATATAATAGATATATTAATAAAAAAAATAATAATTTTGCATAATTTTTATATAAAATATATAATTTGTTATCCTTAATTTATTCAATTTTTCAATTACAAGATATTTTTCTATTTCAGAAATATATAGATGCGCTTTCAAAAATATTTTTCATAACATTTTTATATTTTTTTAATGAATTACATTTTCTTAATGAATTACATTGAACATTTTATAATTTCTCAATGAATTAATTAGATATTTAACTATTAATTATTTATCATAGACTAATTTTAATAATAAAATTTTATAAAAATAATACAAATTATTAAATCATCAAATATTTCATAATAAAATTGGATATTCTAAATCTTTACTCAATTATTAATTAATAAATAATTGAAATAAATTTAAAAAATAATAACGAAAAAATATCGTTTTTCTATAAAAATTTCATTTTGTATTTGGTGTATGAAATATTTAAAAATGGCACACCAGTTTAATAATATATTATATAAATCATAAATCATTTTTAAATTAATACTTTTTGAAAGTATATAAATATTAATATAATATAAATATAATATTATTCTAATAAATTATTTAATATTTGTTATATATATTATTTAAATTATGAGTTTTTAATTTTATTAAAAGTTTTAAATTCAATTTTATTTAATCAGAAATCTATTTATAATATTCTTTTTAATTATATATTTATTTTTTCAATATGCCTCAAGAAAAAGATAATAATTTGCTTTAAATTATAGCATTATTACGAAAATAATTCTGTAGAAGGAAATATACAAAATAATTAATAAAACAAAGTTATTTTCTACTTGATAATATTAAATCAAATTAACTGAATTAACATTTCAGTATAAGAAATTGAAAATTATTTTTATTGACATATATGCATTTTGCTATATTAAATATTTGAATAAACATTTTCTTATATATAGCTTGAAATTAATAATTATTTTTAAAATTTTAACGAAAAATAATATTGAGATACAAATAAATTCTGTTGAGATACAAATAATCACTAAATTTTAATGAGACTTCTTTTTAAAAAATTTAATGATTAAAAAATTTTAATACATAAAAGTTTTGATTGAAAATAATTATTGTACTAATTAACAAGTAATAATAAAATAAAATAGTGAAAAAAGAACTATAATGATTAATGATATTAAATTTGAAAATTATATTACTTATATTTTTAATATAAAAAATATTATGAAATATGAAAATTGAAAGCTCAATTTTAGTTAATTTTTCTCGTTATTTCATAAAAAATTTTATAATTACTAATGATTAAAAAACATTCATTTTTTTTACAATTTGTGATAATTATTCAAACCAAAATTATTTAAAATAAAAGATGAATTTTTACCCTGTAATTTTTTTTAATTATACATTGTGGTCTCTAATTTCTATATCGTCCTGATTAATTTATATGAAATTTGCTCAATCATAATGTAAATTTAATTAACTAATTTTAATTAACAAATTTTATTAAATTAATAGATAAAAATTTCATGAAACTTTGTCATGTAGGATAGTTATATAGAATATAATAAATTACGTAATTATATAGCAATTATTTAAGCAAAATATCACTTTATTTCCTCAATTCATGGAAGAAAGATTCATACGATTATCAATATATGTTATTTTTTATATATATATAAATAATAATTTTTTTTCATTTAGAATCACATAATTAACAATATACCGAGAAAAATAAAACAATAAACTTTCGACACATGCACAATTACATCCCTTAAAAGAAACTTATTCATCCCGATTGACTTTTCAATTTAACTAGCGACTAGCCCTTTACAGCATAATTCGTATCTTATTATCAATGTCCACGGCATTGTAAAGCAAACACTTATAGATATCATCGTGGTACAAGTAAGTACCTCTAGCGGAGATTCGAGTAAGGAGAGAAAGGTTAGGAATATTCGACCGATTCTGAATACACTCCCCTGTTATTTAATGCGTTGACTAAGGTTCTACACGGTGCATGCATTCACCGAGCCGGTATAAAAGCTTATTCCAAGAAGGAACGTTGCTCGTTCGTGCACGTCACTCCCAATGAAATATATCTAAATGGCGCAACAATGGGATAGAGGCGCTCGCCATGGTGCTCTCCGGCCATCTTCTTTCGTGCTACCATCCATGGTGCATCGTTATGCGAAGTTTGCCACGCGCCTTTGAAATTCCCCGCTCAAGGATCGCCCCATTTTATGCGTGCAGCTGCCTCCACGTATGTGCCTCGCGTGTCTTTACCCTATACAACAATGATGTCCTGCATCTTATCTGCTTGTGCGGTTCATGCGAATGCGGCTTTGGTACTATGTGTTTATAACGCTCCTTCTTGAATCGCGTTTCGGATAATTTCTTGGGTTCTGGATTTATCGAGGCTCTGGGATGAAACGGATGTATTTAAATTGCGTGACTATTTTTTTTGAAATAAGATTTTATGTTGTTATATATATTTTAATCATTATGAAAAAATTGTGACATGGAAAGTGTATCATAAAAAATATTTGAATATTTTATATGTAATCTATTATGATTTGAATGAAAATTTATGTGTAGAATGTTAGTATGTTACATGTAGAACAATTTTTTTTTTTGGAAAATTTCATTGAAAAAATGGAATCAAAATTATAATATTTCTTGAAGTTTTACAATTTTATTTGGCAATTTTTTACAAGAGTGATAGGGCATTAAATTTTGAATTAATTTTGTAGTCTAAAATTGCTATTTCATAGCATTATGATATTTAAGAAATAGCATAAAATTTTTATTGTTGATTTCATTTTTTTGTGAATTTCCTTAAAAAATTTTGTTAAAGATAAGCAAAATTTTATTTTTTGAATTTTTTAAACAAGTTTTCTTATTTTTAATTAAATATTATAAATATAATGATTATGTACAGTATAATACAGTATAATAATTATGACATGAAATATAATAGATTATATATTATAATATAATTTTTTTCTGATAAAATATCACATTAAGTAATTAAAAAAATTTCAGTATGTTTTTCGCTTTTTAAAATATAACTCTGTGATGAAAACTATTAAACTATAAAAACATCATCATAAAATGTATAAATTAATACTTAATTACCCCTTTCTGCTTTTTCTTTATTAACATTATATATTTTTCTCAACAGATATCGCAAAAATGTTTTAAATGTTCTATACTTATATATTTTCAGGATAAAATTTGAAATAATAAAGCTTTTAACTTATTTATAATTTTAATTACCAACTAAGTGAAGAGTTAACTAAACTATTATAATAAAAAATAATATTTATCCACTGTTAAAAGTTAAAAACAATATAAAAAAAAAATTAACTATATTTTATTCCATTCTACATCCATTATACATATACTATATACATATTTTCATTAACATGGATCTATTTAAATTGTATTTATAAAATAAGATTTTAAAGTTGTGATGAAAATTCATCAAATTATAAATACTATATAGTTTCTTATTACACACGAAAGAAAACACTATCATTTCTAAAAGTTATATATGTTTCAGAGAAATTGGAATTTATTTATTAGTTAACTTTCTTGTAAAAGTTTTCTGTCTGTATTCTCAAATTGCAATTGGCACATCTTAAACTTAAGAGAATGGGTAAAATTCTAGAGAATCGAAGCTTTGAAATTTATGAATCGGTTTTCTCAGACAAAGAGGATTTTGTGCAACATCTTTCAAAAAGAAAGTTCGTAGATTTTATAGACGTCGAATTCCGTAGAGACCGCCATAATTTTTTTAAATTGGAGACTGTTCTACCTTCAGCAATTGTATCAAACCTTTTATGTTCCTTGGAGAAAATTTTCTTTCGAAAGTTACGTTGAATCAGATTAATTATTAAATATATATTATACAATTTTATAATAATAATATAAAATTAGTAAAAAATATATTTCTATAATAAAACAATAAATAAAATATTAAAATATCAGTAAAAATAAAAAACGAATGAATTTTTGTTATTATGGATATCAAGTTTATTATAAACATTTTTTAGATATTTCATTATTTTAATGTGTCATATTTTTTAAATATATATTATACATGCAAAACAATAAACAATTAAATTATATCTTTCAAATAATTAATTCTTGTTTTAAAATATTTTTTTAAATATCATCTTTGAAAATAATAAATCAAATTTTCCTATTAAAATTTCAAAACAAATGTATAGAAATGTTAAATTCGTCATAAAATTTATGATAAACATTTATTGTTAATTCAGTTCGATATTCTTCAAACATCTTCATTTAGAATTGAATTAAACTAAATTTTTCAAGTTGCAATTCCAAAAAATATTCATAGATTCTCTATATAAGGAAAAAAAGATCCAAGA